CACAGTGATAGAATGCAAAAGGTAAACAAAATGGTTTTGGAATAGCCTTACTGATTGGTGACAACATAAACCTGCAGCTGAAAGGAGGCTGTATTTACAGGAAAGCTATTAGCCCCACCACAAACTATTCAATTTACCTAATGCACTGTGTTATATACATAAGCCACAACCCCCAAATTTAGTGACTTGTTAGAAAAGAAGTTGTCATGCTGCAACAACTAGAGTGTTATTTTCGACACTATCCATCGTCTTCATTACTTCTTTAACAAATATCCAAGAAAATTGATAAGCCCAAAATAACAGATCAGCACACAATCATCAAAACTCTTTAGCCTGCATGTACACTGGCAAGCGACGAGTGTTGTCAAAAACAATTCAAACATGAATTTTTAGAAGGAATTGTGTACAATGACCTTGAGCACTGAGCAGTAGAGATGTGAGATGGCATTGGGTTATGTTCTCTTCCAAGTCACCTTGAATTGTGAGCAATAACACTAAATTGTTTACCATTTCAGTCTCCATACTGGATGTGTCAAGACAGACAAATCATGTCCAAATAAAAAGTAGAATTTTCTAGCTCACATCACAAAATAATGTTTTCTGAAGGGCAAGCAAGACCACCTTCGTGGAATTATGGATATCCTGATCACAACCCAAACCTCCAAAAATATGCTTGTTACAAATGTATATCAACCATGAACAGCATTTCAAACATAGTATGGAGAAGCTTCAGAGCTATTACCATTACCAATTAGTTTGGTATTGTTCTTTTAAAAACTAAACTGGATGCATAACAGATATGTTTAGGAAAGCAATCAAGAGCATTTGATGAAAACACTCAATCCCACACTGTGTTCTTATACCAGTAGTAGATACAATAACCTGTAAACTGTTGCAGCCAATGCCATTTCAAGAAAAATATTCACTATTAAACTGACATCACACGTCACTACTGCTCACTACACAATGCTCAACACTCACTGCATACCAATGTGCAAGCATCCTTGAACTTACCTGTTCATGTTGTATCTTTTAACTAAATCATTACCTTATACACTGTTCTTATGACACTTAAACTTTAGACAAAGACAAAATTGAATCTGACAATAACCTCACAATTTAATTTATACCATATAAAAACTGTATATACAAATGTGCCAAACTTAAGAAGAATGATGAAGCATCACACAATGCCTTTTTCAAATTGCATAAAGATTTATGTTCCCTGGCTATCAAATACAATCTCATTAGGAAACATGGGGGAAATAATTATGACATACCTTAATTTGGTTCAATTAAACCTGTCATTTTCATCAAGAGTGAAAATATCCCCTTTGGTAACTTGGTGTCATATCCAACACATGACCAATGAATTCAGACATCGCTACTACGTTTACCACAGACCTTGCAATTACAATCTATAACTTTTAGAGTGTGGAAAGTGCATCAAGAACATACTTATTTGTATACAAATCTTGTTCCTTTTCATATTGCACTCGCAATTCTTCTAGCTTCTTTCTATAAGACTCTGCCATCCAGGCCTACAAACAAAGCGTAGACAATAGTATCATTTGAATAAGATAATGAAGGACGGTACTTGGACTTATTTCTATGAAGCTGAATGTTCAACACCGACATGATACCCGAACACAACATTAACATTTTAAAAACTTACCCTTTTCAAATTGTCTCTAGACGCCGGATGAAAAAATTTCTTGCACATATAATTAATAAAGCCATTCCCCATTTTACAATAATACTTTGCACAACAGGCTGTGCTATACTAAATACTTTAAAGCTATAAAAGCAGATTTTAAGTTTAATGTAATTGATTATCTCAACAATCACACATGACCTATCGCCATCTTGAATCATATCGACTTGAGAATATCGAATACCAATGAAACAGTTGACAAGAAACTGTTCACAGAGTATAGAATAATACCAACGTTACGTTCAGTGCTCCATGCAATTCGCACTGTAATACTACTTGCCCCCTTTTGTGAAACCACGAAAGGATGTGGCGTTAGCAGTAGGTACTAATTCATGTTATCAGCCATTAGCAAGAGCACGCCCGTTAACAACGTTATCTGCCTTCATACACTAGAATTACCCCCCCCTTGAGAAAAAAACAGCAAAGGGTAACATTGCAAAAGTGAATGGCTGTGTACTGGGGTACTGCGCCCTGCATTCTGGTAAAAACTGGCATGCATTTCAAGGGGAATTACTGCCTTAATCATTAGGGTGATGCTCAATATCCCAAAATATTTCCATACTTGCAAACATGAGAACCTGAAATCTCACTTTTCAAACCTGGTACCTGGTCTCCAATTTTTAAAAAAGTAGGCATGTCAACTGGTTTAACCTGTGTTACAGCACTCATACACATCAGGTAAACACTTCTCAGTACTTCCTTCAAAAGTACAAACTCATCATTTAAATCAATGGAAAATTTCTCTGGCAGTGGTGTTACTACTGTCAAAAGACAGACACTTTGTAATAAACTGATACTTCATCATAATTTAATAATTGTCCTTAAAAGGAAGCTTAACAATAACTTGTTTTCCAGCAGACAGATGGACACAGGTGGTAGAGTAATTTTGGTATTCTTATCTATGTATGTACATATTGTTTACCCACAACACAGGTGGCATGGTTAGCAAAACAACATAATTTCGTGAACTTACATGTTCATGGAAGTGTTCTTGTATAGTGGCATCAGTGCATATATTTAATTATATAATCAGTAAGTATGGCAGGCATGTTCAGTGACTATTGCCCTCATCATCATTTCTCTGCAAATTGGCCATTTCAATGTGACAAATCCTCTTAAAGGTATAGATGTATCCGTTGCTTAATAAATATCACACCATGTAAACTTATGGGAGTGGAGATTTGGCTTCACACATTTCCCACCACCCTGCCGCTAGTTGGAGTGAGTGGGCATTACATACAGACTGGGTGGCCTCCAGAACTGGTTTGGCCAAAGTGGGAAAGATCAGGATCTATAACTCTGCTGCCTACAATTGCATCATGGTTACCAAGCATATAGTCTATTCACTGTAGTATGTAAAGTGTTTCACAACAAACATACATTTTAGTCAGCATACAGTGTCCTGTATTTGGTTTTCCTATGCCTTCCTAAGAATTGATTACATAGAAACTGATTTAAGGCAACTGGTTATAAGCACAACTTGCTTTTAACTCTTAAGGAGTTCCTACCATCAAAAGAAAACAGGCTTTTACAGAAAATGTTATAAGTTATAAATCTAGTCTCATACCTGTTTTACTTTGACTTCATTGTGACTTCCACCTTGCTGTATATTGTAGTAGCATATGTTTCTAGTCATGAAATGTAACTGGCACTTAAATCCTACATTCATGTACAGAATACGTTAATGACTGAAGTATGTGAATATCTATAAAACATTCTAGGACTAAGCTTACAAAAACAGCAGCTTCTTATCAATGTCTTACAAACATAACCTCTCTTTCATTCAAATCCTGATACATTTTAAAGGCATTCTTTCTCACTTATAGAATCATCACTGATAAGTCTGGGCTTTTATTACCACCATTGTTACAATGCTTTCACATTCATTTTTGCAAGTAATTCTATATTCTGTGTGAAGTAGATCCAACCATGTTTTCCTTAACACTAATTTGAGATTAAGCTTTAATCACCCACCAAGTAGCATCAAATAAGGACACATATTAGAGTTAAAAACTAGCAAACCACTTCAGTATTAACTGTGTTTCTATAGCACTTCACAAGGTTATGTACTACAGGCTTGGCTATAAACTAACTAACTAGATGGCCTGCCGAACCCGAAGGTTCATCACTGAATTAACCAAAGCCCTCCACTGGACCCTGTCCTGGGTCAACAAAATCCAGTCTCCTTTAATTCCTCTCTCATATAGATCCCGCCTGACACTATCCTCCCATCTATGCCTAGGTCTCCCCAGAGGTCTCTTACCCTCAGGCTTCCCAGCCAATATCTGGTGCACACCTCTTGTCCCATACATGTGTTCTGCATGACCTGCCCATTTCATTCTTCTTGACTTAATCACCCTGACAATACTCGGGGAGGAGTATAAATTTTTAAGTTTGTCATTATGTAGTTTTCTCCAGACCCAATCATCTTCTCTTCTAGGTCCAAATATCCTCCTAAACGCCCTATTCTCAAACACCTGCAATCTATGCTAAGCTATAAAATGAATACTAACTACAAATTGGGCCCAGAACAATTTTGTTTCAAGGAACAGGCACTGAAAATGTAGCCTTCAAGTTGAAAGTAATCAATAAATCTTCATATTGACCATCAGTTTCAAATTATTCCTATAGCAAACAGCTATTATGTCCAAAAGCAACAATAACCACCTTTTCCCTGTAGTGGTTATGTGTTATGTTTTCTTTGAGGTAAAGAATAAATATTTAAATATTAAGCTCCAGCAGCCCAGGGTTATGGAAATCAGATAGTAAGCTATAGACTGGTTTCATCTGGCTCAGGTTAGGGGGAGATGTCATGCTCTTGTGAAAATGGTAATTAACCTTTGGGTTCCATAAGAGATGGGGAATTTCTTGATTCTCTGAGTGACTATCAACCCCTCAAGGTCTCTGCTCTGTGATGTTACTTTATTAGTAGAAAACCATTTTGGATATTGTATATGACCATGGTCTCAAAACACAATGAGTAGCCTATCTTAGGTTGTACTTCCTGTCATATCAGTTTCATTTGCATGTAACTATTTTTCCAGTTTCTCAGTCTATGGTTTACTACTTTTCTGGGTTGAGAAATCTGGGAATTTATATTACAACACACTGACTATTCTAAGCTGGGTAACCTCTGCCCTTCTTTTCCTCTGAGGTATAAAGAGTGAAAGTAGAAACAAAATAAAACTTTTTAATATATAATTTAAGAAATTTACACTTTAAATTCAAATACGTAAATTAATTAATTTGTATTAGATGTAAGTAGAATATAGATAAATAGAAATAATCTTACTTTAATGAATATTTCTATTGATAAAACCACCCTTACCACAATGGCAGCCAGATGCTTGGTAAGAGCCCAGACTTCTTACATAGGGAAATCAGAATGGGTTGCTTGGCTAAAGCTATCACACACCTTACAGGACAATGGTAGATGAGTATGGGGCAATGGCAGAATGATGAAAGGAAGTACAAGCCAAAGAACCTACTCCAGTGCCACTTTGCCCACCACAATTTTCCCTGATTATGTGACTGGTATCACAGGAAACACAGTTTAGTTTCTTTAATTGTACTATCTTGCAGATTCTCTTCATGACGCTTAAATGGAATTCTTGAAACACCTTCCAAGTAAAAGCATAAAATATATATAGATTAGAAATGTGTAAACCAAACTCGACACATGTTTTCAGACAACAGCATGTATTGAAGCCTTTTTAAATAAGTATGTCTCTTGAACTGCTTTGCATGGAAGTAAGTCAATAAAGGCATATAAATGTACTTATGTGAAATGGAACAGGGTATTGTTTTCAGTGGTCTGGTCAGTACTGTGCCACCAGGCCACTAAAATTGGAGGAATATGTGATATTTTCCCATCCACATTCCATACAAGCTTTAATGTTTCTTAGACATGGCCTTATCAATTATGCAGCTTCCCTGCTGCACCACTTGATTACAACTGCACGCACTAGAGGAGCGGATAGCTTCATCACTTGACCAGAATTTCCAGTCTGCACATTCATGCATGCTCCACAACAAAGAAAACAGAGAATTTACCCTTTAAACATGGACAGACTGAGTGGTTCTCACCATGCCATACCTCAGTTGAACTGTGTACTGTGCAGGTACTTTCCCTTTCATGCAAGATTCTTGTAATGATGGTAAATTATAGTTCCTTTTTTCTAAGAATATTATTTTTAGTATCTGTATACTTTTTGTTACATGAAGGAAAACAGATACGTACACCAAGAATTTTTGTTTGCAATATAATTTTTAACCTTGGTTAACAGCTTGCAACAATTTGAAAGAACTGATTTGCTCTCCATTCTTGATGTTCCAAAAAAAGTAGAAATGTTTTTAATTTCAGGGGCATTTAATAAACTTATAACTTAAATGTTAAAAAAGAAAAAAAGAATCTTCTGCAAAATATTT